ATCCGCACCTTAACGGATACGAATACAGATATCTTCTTGGATAAGGATATAAATAAAAGTTAATCAAATTTTAACATTTGACTTGTATAGAAACTTTTTTTTTGACGTGGAAGTAAACTTTGTCATAATAAATTAAAGAAGGATATATATAACTAGTGAAAGGAATTTGTTTGTTTGTGAAACCCTTAGGATAGTGGGGAGCACAACTCGGCTTCCGTGAGAAATGTTTGTGACTCATGTGTGGGTCAATAGAGCTTTCACTAATTTTTTTTTTCTTTAATAACCGACCATATAAACTAAGTAAAGAAAGGAAATTCATCATGTTTAACTTGTACCAGTTGACATACGACAAGGATAAATACGTCATTAACTATTGTAAGTTAAACTAGTGCCAATGCACTTAGGAGGCAACATTCACTGAATTTTGTCCATATCTTTTTCTTATGCACTTTAATTGTTTAAGTGTTTTGATAGCATAAGATCCAAATAAGGTTGGTCCTCTTTGCTAAGAGAACTGCCAACATGTGCTTTGCTTTTCTCCTAAGTGTGGGTCATTAGCATTTGTTATGGAAAGTGTAGCTTGTTGAGAGAAGATATGTAGGACATTGAGGGGCCAAAATAATTAAACATACTCCTAAAAGAAATGTAAATATGATCAGACATTACCATAAAATGAAGTGGGTCTAATTTCTCTTATTAAGAAAACATCATGAGCTTACATCAAGAAAATGATAAATTTTACATGACCCCTTAAAGTTTGGTCCATTTTGAGATAAGCCCCACAAAACTTTATGAATGTCACTAAACAACCCTAACTTTCGGGGCTTGTCACAAAGCTTTCATTTTTTTTATCAATATACCCCAATTGCGCATGCCCTCTGATTTTCAATCCTATTTTCAAAAAATCTTCAAACTTCCACAATAATTATCAGGAAATCCAAAATTTCAACATTATTTTTAGAAACCCCCATGAACGTTGAAAAGGTTTAGAAACTACCAAAGGTTAGGGGGTTAAGTGATATTTACAAAGTTTAGGGAGTTATTTTGAAATGATCAAAACTTTATGGAGCCTATATGAAAATTTACCCTTAAAGGGGTGTGGGGGGTGTTAGTCAAGTAGAACTCCAAAGTAGAATTAGGATAATTTGTAGAATTTTATAGTGTTAGTCAATTAGAACAAAATATTATGGTGTTAGTCAACTAGAACTGTAACGAAACTAGAATTGGGATAATTATACAAAATTATCCCACTATACAAAAATGAGAGTTCTAGCCTCTTAAATTATACAAAGTTTTAGCTTGGAACTATATGGTAAAAAACTAGAAGACTCCATTTTATTTTTTGTTTTTTGTATTTATTTTATTTTTTTCTTTACATCTTTCCTTCGATGATCATCACTGTTAAGATAGGGGTGCATTCGGTCCAGATACAGCTCGGATATGATGCTTACCATATTCGTATCTGCTTACCCATCTCAGATACGGATACATATACGAATATACATCGGTGAGGAAAATTCATATAAGCATCCGCTAAAATAGGATACAGTTGCGGATATATATATGTGGATATATAAGTGGATATGCATGCATATACAAAACGGATATGAAAAAACTAGATAGTATTGAGAAGAACATAGTTCATGTGATACAAAAGAGTTCGTTAATATATGTTCATTATAATTGAAAAGTTATGATTAGACATCTTGATCATCAAAATTAACCACAAATCCATAATCTAAGAATTGAAACTATTGTAAGAGTAAGGGGTGCATTCGGTCCAGATACAGCTCGGATATGATGCTTACCATATTCGTATCTGCTTACCCATCTCAGATACGGATACATATACGAATATACATCGGTGAGGAAAATTCATATAAGCATCCGCTAAAATAGGATACAGTTGCGGATATATATATGTGGATATATAAGTGGATATGCATGCATATACAAAACGGATATGAAAAAACTAGATAGTATTGAGAAGAACATAGTTCATGTGATACAAAAGAGTTCGTTAATATATGTTCATTATAATTGAAAAGTTATGATTAGACATCTTGATCATCAAAATTAACCACAAATCCATAATCTAAGAATTGAAACTATTGTAAGAGTATGACTAATATGTATTCAAATATTTTAGATACAGATACGGATATTTAACTATAAACCATATCTGTAACCATATCCTGTTGGTTATAAATTTGAGTAACCATATCCGTATTCATTAGGATACAGTTACAGATATTTTCTCAGATACGGATACGGTTTAGCACCCTAATTATTAGATCATGTTGTCAAATCAAATCTCGTCTCCTCCTACGCATCTCTTATATTTTCTTTTTTATCAAATATTATAATAATATGATTATATTTAAAGGAAAGAATGAATAGATCCATAATTTATTTAAAAATAAAAAAGAGATGATAGAAAGAGATCTTGGGAAGCAAAAATAGAAGGAAAATATGAAAACATTTTCTTAGACTTGTACTATAATAATAATTAAAAATCAAAAAGCTATAACATATATTATAATAATATTTGACAATATCTTATAGTCTAACCAAAAGTTATTTGATAGTAACTAATAGTCTAATAAATAATTATCAATCAGTAATAGTAAGTTTAAAATACATAAATTGTACTTACATCATCAAAAGGCATAAATGCATACTTTATGATTATAAAAAATTATCATATGTTATTTTATCAAAATATCTCGTTTTATAAAATTATTCCTAATTATCCCACTATAATATCCCACTAGCAAAAAATTATTCCACTTTAACAATTATCTCAAGTTATATAAAAATGTTCCAAGGGGGGGGGGGGGGGGGGGGGGGGGGGGGTTAGTCAAATAGAACTCAAAATTAAAACTAGAATAATTTGTGGGATAATATTTTATAGTATTAGTCAATTAGAACTAAAACTAGAATAAAATTTTACCGTGTTAATCAAGTAGAACTCTAACAAAACTAGCTAGAATTGGGATAATGGTACAAAAGTATCCCACTTTTTTATTTTTCTATACAAAAATGAGAGTTCTAGCCTCTCAAATTATTCCAAGTTTTAGCTTGGAACTAGGTGGTAAAAAACTAGCACTCATATTTATTTTGTTATTTTTTATTTTTTATATTTCTTTTTTTCTTTACTTCTTTCCTATTATGGTTATCACCATCATTAGACCATCATTATAATAATAATTGTTAATATCTTATAGTCTAACAAAAAGTTATTTAATAGTAAAGAACATTCTTGTAAGTAATTATCAATCAATAATAGTAAGTTAAAAATACATAAATAATATGTATATCTTCAAAATGCATAAATATATACTTCATGATTATAAAAATTTATCTCACGTTATTTTATCAAAATATCATACTCCACAAAATTATTATCTCATTTTGCATGAAAATGTCTCAATTAACTAACACCTCAAAAGAAAATTTATGACAGGAAAAAATAACTTTATAGACCCGAGAAAAGGAGCAAGGAACCCCATAAAACTTTCTGGTCTGATGGGCCGGGCCTGAGAGCCCACGGGCTCTCCAAGAAGCCCATTCGCTTATATGATTTCAAACAAACAAAACTAACGATTAGATTCTCTACCTGTAGTCTTCCATTTTTCATGTTATTGGAAGTAAAAATTCAACCATTATCTTTTTAATGAAACAATATATCAATTTTTCGGTTTTTTTTTTTTTTGAAAAGATCAAATTTTCGGTTGTGTCTCCTTGTTTGCATATATATATATGTACGGCTAATTAATTTCTGCGACGCAATTCTTTGAGCGTAGTTGTTTCCTCTCTCTTGGCAATTAAGGAATGGGGGTCATTGTTTCTTTTTTATGCCTACGCAAGTATTTATTTTGATTCGACCGGCCCAAATTCAACTTTGTTCAACGAAACTAGCTTGGGTCGAAGCTTTCGGGTCGAGATTATGTGCTCAGCATAAAAGTTGGGTAGGAGAGCAAACGACCTATAGGCCCATTTAATTGCCATGGTGGGCCCTTTTTGAGATCGTTATGCTCGAGCTATTTGTCCCAGTTCTGCAAATATAGGGCTTTAGTTCTATGGCAAAATGCGTCCAAGTCCAGACTATATATGGTACGTCTTCCTTAAGCAAAGAATTTTATCTTTTTAAAAACAATAATGATGATCATGTGACAAATTTAATTCATAGGGGTTCTTCTATGTCCGTGACTCGCTAAGTAGATTGAGTTTCTGTAAATCTGTGCATTAATGATTAATGATTTACAATGTATGACAAGGGAAACTAATTATCTTTGTGACGATCACTTTTTACATCAGAGAAGGGGGCAATTAACAATTTTATTTAAAAAAAAAACTAATACTTTCTAGTAAGGATAACAGCTAGTAAGTTGTTCCAAATTAAGAGAAAAAAATATAAATCATACCTCGTAATTAAAATCATAGTTAATATGGAGTTCATCTAATTAAAAACTAAGATTTATGTGCCTTAATCGAAAGCATTAGACGTAATCGACTGCCATCAAAGCTCAGTCTGTTGCAAGAATTAACGCTCAACCTCTAAAAGAGATGTCATACTCTCATTTATCAAAGTCAATGGTAATTCATAAACAAGAACAATTCAGAAGAAATAACGAACGTGTGAAATTAAGGATTAATAATCAAAGATCAATACGTACGGTACTCTTCTTTCTTTGCTAGCTATACACTCCCTCTCTTCGCTAGAAACATACAAGCTATAAAAAGATCGAGAGAGTTCAACTAACACGAGGAGAATGCAATTGTAAATCGTACATTAATTAATTAACAGCAAAATATAGTGGTAATGATAAGGTAAATAAGAGATATTATATGGCTGATCCAAATTTTCTAACTGGTGTGTCGTTGACGTAGCACAGAAAATCGAGTAATAACACACTCAGGAGCGACGTACCCATCCCCCGTTTATGTCTGTTTTAATTATATATCTTCAATCAAGATGTATGCGCTACAATTAATAATTACCATCGCAATCCGTGAACTGATCCACCACCTCCATTGATCCCATACCCCACCACGCTCCCCCCAAAACCCTGACCGGCCGCCGGGTAAAACCCCCCGGCGCCGCTAAACTCCGTCGGGTTCGACCCGCTTCCAGCTTGGCTCGAGCTAGGGTTCACCAAGTTGACCTCCTCGTCGAGTTGGTCATCGCCCCTCTCGCCCTCGGTCTCCCTGTACCTGTTGAGGTAGGTCTTGAGCGGGCCGACGTAGTTCTCAAAGCCCAGGGTGGTCATGGCCCAAAGGAGGTCGTCGCCGTTGATGGTCTTGCGCTTCTCGCGCTGGCACTTGTCGGAGGCCTCGCCGGTGATGAAGCTGATGAACTCGGACACGCACTCCTGGACGGTCTCCTTGGCTTCCTTGGAGATCTTGGCGTTGGCCGGGAGGGAGCGTTTCATGATGCGGCTGACGTTGGCGATGGGGAGGAACCGGTCCTGCTCCTTC